GATGGGAACAGACACAGCGTCTTATGTCTGTACATATGAGCGACGACAAATTAGCAGTGGTGGGATTTGAACCCACGCCTCCAAAGTGACTGGAAACTAAATCCAGCACCTGTCTGGGGGGCATCAAAAACATGGACTGTCTGGTGGTCCCTGTGGACTCGGTTGGGATGCACTGTAATAGAAGATGTTAGCTGTATGTTTAGAATTGGGTCGAATAGGCAGGGCTTTTAAGTGCTGCTTTGTTGTTTTACCACTGATTAACGATTTTTCTTTAAAAACTCGCAGAAGAACTGGATAGGAATGCTAACTTTGATAGGAGCACACAGCATTTTTAATTATGAAAATATCCTTTTTCCCATTTGTATTCTTTTCCACTTGCATTTCTTGCTGGCTTAAATGACTTGTAATTTAATAGCATTCAATTTGCTTCATCAGCTTTTCTCTAATTAAATTTTTTATTTTTAATTGATTTACTTTACCAGTGACATATTACTTGGATTGTGGCTGCTGTGCCTCATGTGTCCCTGATCGTAGTCCAGGGACATGCTGCTTATTGGTTCTTGTCAGAGGGAAAATGCATTGGCTAGGATAAGAAAGCCTTTAGAGAGGGTGGCCCTCTGGGATTAGACTGATCCAGACCTGTAGGGGGCCCACAGTAATGGGCTATGACAGTTCCTCTTCTACAGGCCCCACACTCTTAGGATTTGTCAAAAAATGCATACTTGTTTGCTATGTAGCAGGCGAAATACAGTATGCAACGTGAGCAGTATGTCCGGATCCTCAGTATGGATCAGATAGTAGCAGAACGGTACCCGGGTGACATGCTGCGTTCTGTGAAATTATGAAGTGTGCAACCGATGGATGCTACGCTGTCCTACAAGGCCACTGTAGTTGCAAGACGTAATGAAGCGCATCGCTTGGTCAGAAATTTGTGTCAAGATGGAGGATGAATTGCCGTCTCTGTATAAATTTAATAAGACAGCAATACCCAGTTGCAAAAGTTGACTCGAATATGTAGGGTTTTTTTTGACACTGTTTAACATTTTTTAACTTTCATGGGGGTCAAGTTATATTGGTAAACATCCAGGTGAGGTAATATGCAAGATGGCGACTGCAGTATGTTTGAGTGCATGCATACTGATCTCATGCATATCATTGGTTTAGTAGCAGATTTCTGATGAAATTCAGCACCTACTATGTAAGTATGCAATTTCCGGCATACCCTTAATGTCCACTGCAGAACACTGAGGTACCTTTGCTCTGTCTTTCAGTCATGCTGGAGTTTCCTCTGGTTTGGCAGTGGTGGCTGGCCTTGGGTAAGTCACTATTCACAGATCTTCCTTTCCTCAATGCATCTTCGCTCCACAGAGCTGTCTGTCAAAGGCTCATCAGCAGAGACCATGTGTTTCTAGCTGATAATCACTTTCCTGCTTATATTAGAGTCTCGGAAAAGAGGAAAAAAGACTGGCTTACCTTTTCTTCATTGATCGTAATGCCATTGCTCAACTGGAGTGTTAGGGTTCTGCTTGTATGCCAATACTTCATTGTAAAATGTTTTTTAAAAGTCTCATATTTTATTCAGTAAAGCTGAATGAACACTATTGTCACCTGAATACTGTTCAAATCTGTCCGTTTCTCACCTTCCCTTGACCTGAAGGTAGCGGCCTGTTCCTCATGATCTGCAATGGTCAGCTTATTGCCTACTTTGCATGCCAGAACGACCCCAAGTACCCTACGCTTCACAGCTATTGACCTCCTGGGGATGGAGAAGAAACATGGAGGGAGAAGGCTTTGATCTTCATGGTTGGGAGACACATGTTTTAGAATTCAGAGTGGAGAACAATCCAGAATATTAGGCACATCTCCAGGAATGGGGTGATGCCTTCTAATGAGTTTTCCCTCTGAGGAACAGATTCTAGAATCTGGGCTCTGATAAAGCACATTGAAGGGTGATTGTGAGTGGCCTTTTCCTGTCTGTGAACCAATAAATCATAGTGTCATCAACCATTGGTGTATAACAGACCATAATCAGCAACCTGCAGCTGACTCAATCCATGCTTGCTGTGCTGTGGTTGATTGATGTTGGTGTTTTGCCTGCCTTGCTCGGTCTTCCATCTTGGGGCAGGTAAGGCAGTCCTTGTTTGGTAAGGGCCCTTCTGTATGCAGAACCTATAGAGAAGGACATGGGCTGGAGGTAGGAGTTCAGCCCATATGTTAGACCGTTCCATCTTCACATCTAGTTACTGTATGTATCGTTCATGTGAAGGTGATAGTGAACCTAAGTGGAAGGCCGTCTCCTTCATCGCGGTTGGCGGTACAGTCTCCGATACATGTGTGTGAAGAGGATGGAAGCAGTGCTTCGGTGATGTCCTGCCTGCTGATGTGAGTCGTGAGCAGAAGCGGGGAACTAGGAGACACAGACCGTGCTGCAGGCAGGAAGCATTTCAGATGATGTGGTTTAATCTATGAGTCATATTCCTGTTAAAAATGTGTTGACAATGTGACACCAACGCATGAGATGTAACCGTGACCTAAATGTAGAATTAAAACTCTTTGGAGGTTGATGAAATAAGTTGGAGTGTTTCTTTATGTGCAGTGTGGTGCTCAGGGGGTTAGGATTTGTGCCTGTAATCAGAAGGTAACTAGTTCCAAACCCAGGGTTGGCACTGGAGCCAATCACAGGCAGAAAAAGGATGGGATGACATCATCAGAGGACATGCAGACAATGTGGGGTATTTAAAGTCACCAGTTCACCTAAACGTGTTTTTGCACTGTGGCTGGAAAGCAGTATATGTATATGTATACACGCACAGATCTGTTCACCCAGGGAGAACATGCAAACTTCACACACTCAAACAGAGCATGGGCGGGAATCGAGTCCCCAGTCCTGAAGGGCGGACATGTCCTGCTGTTTTTATCACATAAAATAAACCACGACTCCAGGGAGGGCCACACACTTTCCTGGCCTTTGTTCTGCTCCAGAAATGAACCACAACATGAGTAAGTCTTTTCGGACTGAGGTCAAGCGCAGACTAATTCTCATTAGCTAATGCAACGTCAGCAGCAGCATCGGAGTAAAAATGATGCTACAACATTTACATAGAAGTTTCTACATTTGTTATAGTTACCTTTAGCAGCTCAGATGACATAGATTCCATCCAGATCAGAACAGTTTGCTCAAGGTCATTGTTTCCTTGGGGTCTTTGCGGACTCACAGTCGGTACACATTTCTGATCCCTCCCAGCTCTCGCTAGTAAAAACATGGACTGTCAGTGGGTCCCCAAGGGCCGGATCGGGAAACACTGCTCAAGGCTACTACATCTAACTTACAGATAATTAAGGAAGCAACCACTAGGCCAGTGTCCTGGGTGATGTTAATCTACATCCAGCCCTATAAGGAGGTCCTCCAACATACAGGGAAAAACGTGGGGGTTGGTGGCAGGACTGGCACTCATACTGGTCCATTTGGACTAGCGTGGTACTGAGGTATCACGTACCACATGGTTGCACTCAGGTTCTCATCCCTGAGCTGGTTTGCCGTGTGTATCAGTTCACGCTCCTTAAACAACAACACCAGGGCAACTGCTGTCCTCAGACATAAAAATATCTAATACCTATATTTAGGTGTTTGAAATGGAACGAAATGATCCTTTATTTGCCATTTGCACGAGTACGAGTACATGTACACAGGGATGCTTCTCTTCTAGCCCATCTTGCTCTCCATGAGACACAGAGACATATGGAGGTGAAAGAAAGCTTGGGGGGGGGTCACAGCAGGAGGGAATGAGAAGATTTCTTCAGGCAAGATGGACATAATAAAGTACAGGAGAATCATGGAGGGGGGCTTGTTTCCGTCAGCATGTGTTTATGGTTACAATTTAACAGGAACAGTGACAAAAACACATAGTAACATTTTGCAGGAATGTTATAAAACAAGAAGTCCAATATATGACCCAACCAAAGCCTGCACAGAACTTTTTTTTTAATTATTAATAGTTTTCCTGTTACCACTAACTAATAATTACACAAATATACAATATATTCACTAAATATTAATGAACGTTGTGGATCAGATCAGTAAAGATACAAAAAGTCCCACCTAATTTGGAAATTGGGGCAGACCCAGGTTTGTGAAACATGAAGAGAAAATGACCAGAAGCAGTACAACAGTCAGATGATTTCTGTCATGTGGATTTTTAGGTACTGTACTTTACCTAGATTTTAGGTTCCATGTGATCCAGACTTACAATATTTTCCTAGGTTTCCAGAAAACACTCTTGTGCATCATCTACGCCATAGTGCTGGTTTATAAAATGCTTTCTTATAATAATCTGTATAAAAATTTAAAAACAAGTATTGAATTAAATAGACAGGGAAACAAACAAACCGACTATTCTCCAAACAAACCGACTATTCTCCAAACAAACCGACTATTCTCCAAACAAACCGACTATTCTCCAAACACAGGTGTGTTCAGTGCACGGAGAGGTGAACAGTCTATCTACACTTGCAAATAAAACAGGTGAGAAAGTTTTCTTCTTGCCGCTGCTCTTGGTTGGTAGGTGCTTGTCCCCACCTGCTGGTGAAGTACTTCATACCGAAAATGACACTCAAACCCATCATGGAAGGTTTTACAGTTTGTTTCACAAGTCAGACTGTTCGACAAGTTGCATTAACTGAATCACGTTGCGTGCCGAGTCTGGGTTTCTAGAATGTACCAGAAAGTTCAACAGTGTGTAATCTTCTTTGAGTTTTTGAGCAGCAGAGCAGGGAGGGGTGTGGCCTAGACGAAGAAAAAGAGACTTGCCAGAGAACCTGATGTTCACATTGTCTCTGAGCTCTCAGCTTCAAGTACAATCCTCACTGGGGTGGAAAATTTCCTATAAATTTCCAGAAAGATCCAATGGACATTTTGGAAATCTACAATGTGCCGCCAAGTGGTATAACTAAAGTCATCTCCAATAAGGCTCTGCACTGCATGCCCTTAAATGTCCACAACAAGCTCATGAATGTGCAAGTGGAGAAACTGCTGGCAGTTTGGACAAACACTGAGGCTGACCCCCACCCATCCAACGTCTCAGTGACTCTGAGGGTGCGGAATCTGACGCTGACTGAGCATTTTTGACTTTAAGCAGATTGAGCAGACTCTAACTTAATGATCATCTTTCATCATTAAGCCTTGTGCCTAACGTCATATGTTTGGGATCAATAATGTTAGCATGGGAAATGTGTTTGTGTTCAATAAAGTGTTAAATATAAATGTCTATGAAATCTCTATTTTTTTATTAGCGTACGCAATTTTTGCATGTTTGTCAGCTGTACATACACTGTAAAATGTAAATCCCCCGATAGTTCTGATAAATTCTTCAAAATTCCCATGCAACGTTTCTTCCTCTTCCCTGAGTTTCCATCCCTAATTCTCACTCATCACCGGCAGTTTACTCACTGCCAGCAGGACTGCAGGGCAGTGGGCCAGAGCCGGGGGTGGGTAACGCACACAGTGTACACTCCTTAATGGCCGCCTGCCACCGCACCTGGGGGAGCCCTTAAACGGTAAGCCTGAGAGCATCAATGAGCAGAACTGGCGGGACTTAGTCAACGTGGAACTGGGGTCACTTCCTTCTTTTGAGCACCTGCAGTTCAGTGGCCACTGACAAGTCAAAGGCATCAGAAGAGCCGGTCTGATCTGTCCTCATGCAGGTCTACATAACAGCAGGGAGGAAGAGGGGGGCATATCAAAATATAAGAAAAACCCACCTGTTTGCGGATCCAAACTTAACTGGGTTATTACTCAGATTTTGGCTGGTTTTCGACTGAGTAGGACATAAGGATATAAGAACATAAGAAAATGTACAAATGAGATGAGGCCATTCGGCTCATCAAGCTAGTTTGGGGAGAACTTAACTGATAGCTCAGAGTTGTTAAACATTATCTAGCCCTGATTTATAGGAACCCAGGGTTTTAGCTTCCACTACACTAACAGGGAGACTATTCCATACTCTGACTACACGCTGTGTAAAGAAGTGCTTCCTCAAATACACTTTATAATGTTCTCTCGCTAATTTCCACCTATGACCACGAGTTCTAGTATTAAACTAATATCGAAGAAACTATTTGGCTGAACATCTATAACGGGAAACTCTGAGGTGTTCGGGACAGAAGCTACATAGGTGCCTTGCGGTGCCTGGGAACTGTAATCTGGTTCTGACCGGGTTTGTGTCCCTGCCCACATTAAAAGGAAGTGGGCGTGACAGGAATGCGTAGCATGCGTAGGGCACCCTTATCTGCTTTCAGTTCTCCTGAAGTTTCGCTTTCACTTTTCCTTAATGCTCATGGGGACAGCGGCACTGAGAAATGGTTGAGGAGAGTTTTCCCTTCGTGTACCCCGCATCGGACTTCCTGCTGACTTTGGTGGGGCTGGTCCTGTTTGTGGTCGACGTGGCGCTGGACGTTCGATTGGTGGTGGATCTTTATTCTGAAGGGGCATATCTGAAGACAGGACTATTACTTTTTATTTTCCTGGCCTCGACTATTATTGTTCAGCTGTTCAGTGGACTGTTGTACTACTATGACAGGAAGAAGACTGACCCGGAGCTTCTCATCAGGGGCAAATGGCCACTGACAGCTGCCCATTTCACCCTCCTAGCTGTGCCTCTCAGGTATGTTTCAAGTTGTATCTGTCACATGCACAAAGCTGCTCAGTATGTGTGTAACACTGAACTTTTGTGGCATTATTAAGAATGCAGTGATGAAAAATCACAAAACAATGACTTACCAATAATTTAATATAACTTCGTAAATAAAAGTTTGAATTTTATCCATGTTTTTCAAAATAAAACTGTGATTTTTCGGCAGGGCTAATCTCCATGTGATCGGTGTTTATTTATGCTTTTATCAGATGGGAGGGGGTCATTTGAGTGTGTGTGTTTCAATGTGTATGTTCTCATACATGACTACACACTATACCATATATACAGTAGTACATATATTAATATATAGTAATCAAACTAAATATGAGGTATCTTTAGTGTTTTGATTGCATTCACAGATCTTTATGGGGACCTGAAAAATGGTCCCCACAACGTCAAAATAACAGATTTTTATTACATTGCGGTGAACATTTGGTCCCCACAATGTAATATAAACCTAATCCACACACACACACACACACACACGCACACACATATGTTGGTGTACCTATCTAAATGGGGACCGTCCATTCATTTCTATGGGAAAATCCCTAATCCCAATCACGACACCCTTAACCTCTACCCATCCCTAACCCTAACCTTAACCGTAAGTAACCAACCCAAATACAAGACTTTTGGCATTTTTACTTTTTGATTGCATTCAAACATTTTTGTAAAACTGAGGTTATCCAAATGGGGACCTCAAAAGATGTCCCCAGAAGTAGGGAAATTTCAGGTTTTACTACACTTTGGGGACAATTTGGTCCTCAAATGTGATCTATACAAACCCACACACACACACATAAGCCTTTGCTCACTGCATTTTTGTGGAGATTCAGGAGTGTGACCAGACCTGCATGCAATCCAGTTCATAGGGTCTGTCAAATTTGTGAGGCACGCAATCATTCAGTGGCCATATAAAACATATTTTAACTGGGAGAACACTGGGAACTCTGAGAGGACATAGTGTGACCTGAAGCCGAAGGTTTATATTCTGAAAGACACTGCGTTGTTATCCTTCTCTCACTAAATGCCGTTACTCTTTCTGTCTTTAACACGAAACCAAGATACGTGAACATCCTGAAGATCTCCATAAAGAGCTTCAATGACAAAAACCCTCTGCTGAAGGGTGAGGCCGTGTACCAGAACCATGACCTCAGTTTGCTACGGCTCTTTGAGACGTTCTTGGAGAGCGCCCCCCAGCTGGTGTTCATGATATTCATCATCATCCAGAAGAAGCAGGTTGACTTCATAACATGTGAGTTGAAGCTGGCACTGGTTTCATATAAATAAGCATGAGCTTTAGACCCTGCACTTTCGGCTTGTGTCAGCTTGTCTGGTTCCTAACAAGGTCTTCCTTGGCACTGGTGCCTATGCCTTACTCCCTCGGTACATTGGCAAGGTATGCCTGGGCTCACAAGATCCTGGTTTGAGCCCCAAACCCCCAGCCCCAGGAACACTGCCGCAGGTGGTTCCCCTTCAGTGCCATGCTTGTTCTTGCCTGCATGCATGTCTTGGAATGTGCAATGGGCTGTTCCAAAATGGAGCTTCCCTGGGGGGGGGGTTTCAGTAATGGGTGTTGTTTTTCCTAGGAATGATGTAAAGCGCATTGAGACAATGTAATGTCATGACAATGCACTATACAAAACAAATTTTATTGAATTACGCAGATGTTAGGCAGATTTGCAGATTTCCGGTTGGTTCCAGCTGTTGCAGGGAGGAACGTCAGAAACTGGGGCGACGAAGGCCTGGATGTAGATGAACAGGCCACCATGTCGTGTTGGCTGGCTGGCTTGGATCAGTGATGAAGGGAGATCTGAACATCACTACCTAATGCGGGCTGTTTTTTTTAATGCTCCTTACTGATTTCTGTTTGGGGGGGGGGGGCAAAATACTGATGGCAAAAGATTCTTGAATATTCCAGCCTCCCCATTGGAAATGTAAGTGGAAACAGGAGATCCCCACCCCTCGCCAGGGTGCAGACAGAGGTTTAACTGTAAAAGTCAGACCTCCTTGTACTCCTGTGTCCCCCAGAGCAGCTGCTAACGGCTCTCTGTCCCCCTCAGCTCTGAAGACGGCAGGCTCAGCGGCATCCATCGCTCTCAGCGTGGCCATGTACCATCGCTGCATGCGTTCTTTCCTCCCACAGAAGAACAATCAAGGCTACATCTCCTCGCTGGTTTACTTTGCATGGAACTTGCTGCTGATTGGGCCTCGTGTGTTTGCAGTGGCACTGTTTACTTGTGCCAACCCCTGGTTTATCGCAGTACACTACCTATTCCTGTGGGCAGGGCTGGTCATTTGGGCCAGGCTGCAGGACTCTGACTTCATGGACAATTTGGTGGGAGAGTGGCTCTATCAGTGTATTGTTGGCCTAATCTGGTACTTCAGCTGGTTCAACTTGACCAAGGGCAGCACACTGTGGAGGGGCATCATTTACCACAGCATCATGCTGGTAGACATGGGAATTCTCCTCGGCTTCTGGTGGGACCAGCAGGACCATCTGGAAGACATCTTCAAAGTGGAGCCCTATGTGACTCTTGGAATCATCTTCTCACTCTACATATTGGGCCTGGTTTTGAAGGTCCTCTACTACAGGTGCTTCCACCCTAGGGTGACTGAGCTGCAGCCTAAACAGCTTATGGTTCCACTCCAGGATGAGGTAGATTTTCGTCAGTTGGTTGTAGTTGGTTGTGAAGAGGCAGAGAGGCCCAAGCAGGAGCAACTGGTGACCAACAAAAGAATGAGGAACTTGGCTGCTAACTTCTACTCCTCTCCTGCACCCTCACACTAAGACTGACACACTAAAACTGACAGGGTGCTTTTATTAGAGAGATGTAAGGAGAACAGTCCCAAAAAGCCTACCTCCATTTTTATAACAGGTGGTGGTGGTCAAGTCAAGTTGGTGTGTGTGGGTCAGTTGGTTGGTTAACACTGGTCTTTGCAACCAGAAGGTTGCTGGTTCAAATCTCCCACTCCATGGAGTTGTTTCACCATTGAACCCCAATTGTTCCAGGGACTAACTGACTCCTTCATCCTAACTGTACATCATTTTGGATAAAAGTGTGTTAAATAACTTAATTGATTCCACAACGTATTTCACGTGCCACACTGATGATCAAATCCATTTGTGTACTGTGGCAGGGAACACATACTTCTACTAAAAAGATGCTGTAGACAGAAAGTGAAGCCTTAAAATGCGGACGGGTTATGAGCAAAGTCATATGAGGAAGCAAGTCAGTAAGACGAACCAGTAAAGCCGGGTAAGGAATGAAATCAGGGGATTTTCAGGACTGGGAGAGTCAGGAGACGGGAGGAGAGACACCCACAGCGACTCCCAGCAGGAGCAGAGGAGGGAGGGGAGAGAGAGCTTGCTGCCTATAATCGTTGATTTGCTCAATGATTCAAGATTATGCATGTAAGTTACTCTTTAAAGTGGCTCATTTGAAGGCACAGAGCAGTTTGTTAAGAAGCCCATTCAGCTTTCTTAAGAGATGCTTGTAATTTGCTAATTCGTCCTGTGCTTTGCCAAACCAGCTTTTCAGCACATTGGGTCTTCCTGCAGATTTGACACCTTGGGTAGGAACAGGAACTGATCACACAGACCGATCACACAGACCGTTAACACAGTCCGATCACACAGACTGCACAGCGGTTCCCACCGCCTCATTCCTATGATGTGTCAGATCCCCCGTCAGTCCCCAGCTGGCAGCTCAGCTCTAAATCTGTGGATCTGCTCACTGAATTGAAGACTGTTGGACTTAATGTGCCTGAGGACTTCCTGTGAAGGAACTACAGTGGTTCTCCAAGACGGTACCCTGGGGTACCTGAAGGTGGATGCACACAGATACAATACAGTGTCATTCCTCTCAGATGCTTTTCCTGTGACTCTGTCTCCCATGGGCTCTATAACAGGGCAGTATTTGGAGTATTTCTTACAAGTGACTGCATGTTGTTGAATAAGATGCAATTAATATTGTTATTACTTTGATTTCTATAAAATCATATTTACTACATCTTCTTTTTGACTTTAATTGAAAGAAAATGTGAGCTTCTTTGGTATTTTTATTTACCCAGGTCAGTACAGAAAAACAGGCTTCACTCCTAATGACATAACATCATTGTCAGCAACAAATTACAGTGAGGGGTATCAGAGGGGCTCGGATGCCCTGGCAGATTCAGGGGGTCCAGCACTTCACAGGGGCCCTTGAACACGTAAAGTTATATGTAAATTGGGCAGGAGACCCAAGGTGACATTTTGTTACCGGCCCAGAATGTCACGCTATGCCCCTGATTATGGTAGAAGGCGAATTCTCTGGAATATACAGTCAGGGATTTCCTCAGGGACTGCCTTCCCAGGCACATCCACTAGAGGGAGCTATAGAACACATTTTAAACAACAGCTCTCGTGATAGTTGTCTAGTCAAGGACATTAGCTTACATTCCAATGAAATGTGTGATTTTGGCAGCTACATTACATTAATCAGTGTGTGTAACAATTGCAACAGTGATTTCTCTGTAGAAAAATATGTAGCAGAAACATTAGCTGCATAGTTAGAAGGATGTATAGATTGGTTTTCCGAACTATCCTTCCTCTCTTCTTCTGAAATGGCCTTTTTTCTGGATTGTAGGATAGACAGATCTTCTGGAGAGAAAGAAAGCTTGCTTATTTCTCAAATTAGAGTATGTTAAATGTGATTCTTGCTGTTCCCTGAAACCATTATGAATATTCAATGTTTCATTGCAGAAAAGAAGCTATTATTGCCTATTTATTTTTCATGGTAACTACTTTTTTATGTTAAATACTTTAGATTGTTTTGTAACTTGCTCTTTGTAAAGTTTGTATTTTAAATAGTAAGTCTTGTTTTCGGGAGACTTGTTAAACTGGTCATTGGTACTTGATTCTCATGGGTTCCAATAAAACTGCTGTATGGGGTTACTGTGGAAACTGAACGTGCAGAGTAGGTGATAGGATGTTATTGGTTAAATGTCTTGTACAGCATCCCATAAATCACAGTTAAAATACATATTTATGACAAAACACCCCCATTAGGTGTGAGATGTAATAAGCCCCTCCCCCCCAGGAAGCTCTATTAGGTAATAAATAATAGAGCACAATTTCAGAAAAAACACATTCAAACAGACAGAAGTTCTTTATATTTATTGTCATTTCATTACAGAGCTCAATAAAATTTTTATGACCTGCAGCAGCTGTTTCAGCTTTGTAAAAGTACCATATGAATCTGTGTACCGTATATGTTGTGCAACATATATAATATATATAATAAATATTCAAGAAGACATGAGATTACTTAAAAAGGTTATAACTTCCAAATATGGAAGAAACTGACTCCTCCCACTGTATTGCCTGGGCTTCCATTGGTCCAGAGGGAGCGATTCTGAGGAGATTAATCCCTCTAGCACTGCCCTCCTTCTGTTTCAACTGCAGGATTTGCTCTGGCAGACCCAAGACTGTAACCATAGCAAATCAAACATTCTTAGAAAACCTACAACTTATGCTGCCCTGGATTTGGTTTAAGGCAGCGGTCGCAGCAGTACCACAGGCCAAGAAATTTGACCCTATTGGCCTGGTAAATGTGACAAAAAAACACCACCCAATCAAGAGGCCCACTTACGGTCACATGGTCTGACCATACAAGCATGCTGCACAGAGAAAAGGCATACCCAGTTCTATCATACAGAATTATATCATATTTACAGGTGAAGTGGTTTACGTAGCAAACTAGCCGTGGCAATAAAGTACTTATGAATATAATATAGTTTTAATACTCAAAAGCTATTTAAGTGTTTGATACACATTTGACCTCACCCACCACTTTCACTAGTGTAATCAAATTAGTAACAAAAATATAGAGTTTTATTTGTGTATGCTATTCTTGTGTTGGTGTGATGCAGTGCCTGACAGTGATTGGTATCTGCAGGCAGTCACATGACCATATTGCTGGGGAAGAGAAACATTAGTAAAAAAAAAAAACAGAAGCAAGAAAACAGTACATTGGGCTGGATCTCCAGCGTAAGCACCTCTGTACACAGTAGCAGGACCATGGGAGGTATTCGACAAGGGGGCGGGGCACAAGGGCTAAAATGCCCCAGTCCCGCCCATTTGGGGCATGGTCTTATTAGTTCATATTTTGGCTTTGTGCAGCAGCCTGCGCCTCATTGCATTTTATATCAAAAAGTGCAACGGTAACCAACCAGAAAGGTTAATGCACAATAGGAAATTGTTCCAGGATGATAGAGGGCTGCTCTCCACTGCAATGTATGTCCAAAATGTAAGGAGCATGTAAACAGGTCAAACAGACATGAGAGAGTCTACTGCCAATTTAAATCTATAAGATAAGTAATAACACTCGTCTGCTGAGACATGCTGATTTTCAAAGCAGTGGAGAACATCCAATTCACGTCTATCAATTCATCCTCCTGGTCCCAAGCTGTCTCTCCTGCCTTTAGTTGACAAACAAAAAAATCACTATTGCTTATAATTGCAGTTATCATTATGAGACCTGAATGCATATGGTTAAAATTCAACAGGTCCTTCAACAAAAGTTCTATGCAGTATTATAAAGGCAGTATCCATAAAACCACTGTATGGAAGATATGGAGAGAACGCATCCAATCTCCAGCATGGAAGATCTGGAGAAAAGAAATCAAATCTTCAGCACAGAAGATATGAAGAGGACACATGCAAACTCCAACATGGAAGATATGGGAACAAAAACACATCCAAACTCCTGCTTGGGAGGGTTGCCAGTCCTCATCAAACATTTGTGAGCAGTTTCACTGCAGTTCCTGACCCTTGCTTCCTTCACGAAAAGCTGTGTTGTCACCCTGGTACGTAGACACCTTGCCATTAGCAGAAACATCCAGGTTCTTAGCTTCTGTGAAGCACGCCGGAAATTGCTGGGCAAAGGCATGCGGCCGTGCTGGCGGAGAACTCACACTTAAAGCTCCGCCTCTCAGGGCACACAGACGTGTTCTGAGGGTGGAGGCTCCAACACTCTGACATCACGAGACTCCTATCACCCCCACCCACTCCAGTACGGCCATCCCTGCAGCATGTCCGACCCCCATCGATCCCTCCGTCGATTGGATGGGGGGGGGGGTGGGTGAAGATGGAGGTGGATGAAGAGAACGACCAGAAAGCACACCCTTCAAGGGAAGACGTCCTCTAACGGAGGCTCGTAGGAGAAGCCAGGGAATGCGCTGGCGGCCTCCTGACCACTAGAGGTCGCCAGGAAGCATTCGGTGCTGCCCAGGGAGCCTGGCACCGGCAAATGGGTGAACTCAGGGTCAAAGTGTCGCAGGTCTGTGGGCCCATTCTAGGGAAACAGGTGAGAGTATGTTAGATGGAGACCCACAGCCATGGCTGTACACAGTAATGCGTCATCCAGCGTGATCAACTGTATGAATAAGAGTCCAACTCACCACAGCAGGAACAAAGGGCGGCTTAACCTTTTTGGCTAACAGGTCGTCCCAGTTAATAGGCGAGAAGAACGGATGAGCTTTGAGCTCCATCTAGAGAGAATGAGAAGGATCCCCAGTCAATGTGAATCTGATTGTAGGTGTCAAGTGCATCAATACAAAGTTTGAACCTCAGCAGGGTTGCCAGCTCATGCTTTCAGACTCTCACGCTCATGCAAGAAATCTTACAGCAAATCTATATTATTCCATTAAACCTAAAATTAGCTCCATCAAGAGCATTGGAGTAGTTTCGCAAACATACTATTTACAAGGTATGTAACAGTTTTATTACATGTACATGTGTGTACCAAGTTGTCTCAAATTGAAACTCTCACTCCAGCCAGCTGACCAAAGCTGGCAACCCTGCCTTGGAAATCTTGAAATGTGACTTGAGTGTCAGAAGTAGTTGGGGGGGGCGGGGGTAGGGGGTGATTTAAGAGTGTAAGTCCAGTTTGAGTATGACTTGGGGGGGGGCGGGGGTAGGGGGTGATTTAAGAGTGTAAGTCCAGTTTGAGTATGACTGGGGGGGGGCGGGGGTAGCAGGGTATTTCTCCATCCTGAATGTCCTTAGCAGCCCACTTTAGTGCTGCTGGAAGGACGTTGTTGTGAAATGTTGATGTACATCGACATCCAGAGCAGCGGCAGAGCCTGTTTGTGTGAGTGTTTGTAGGTTACAGCAGTAGGAGAGTGTCTGTCTTTGGGTGGGAGTGACAGGACTGTGCACAGCATCATCCGGGTGGGAGCAGACTACTCACAAAGTCCTGGCGCGCCCCCAGCCTCCGCGCACGCTCCTTCTGCAGGAGCCCCTCCAGCATCTCCCTGCCGGCGTTGGACACGTTGGGTTTCAGCACTAGGCTCTTGTGTAGGATGTTGTTGTACATCTCTGCCATGTTGCGACTGTAGAAAGGGGGCTGTAAAGACACAAGGGTTTAGAGAAGCACTTTAGTCTCAGTCACAGTGTGTAAATCCCGTCGCACTCACGGAAGGAGACCGCCGCTTAAGGAGACTTCCCCTCAACACCCAACGTGTGACTCTATCCATTAGAACTGGCTGATTTTCTGCTCTCCTGGATTTATTTTGGGCGAGGTGTGAGGAGTGGGTGTGTGGAGAGAGGTCACATGATGCACGAGATGGATTTTTTTGTTTGCATGCGGCGTTAACACAGGATCAGTATTCGTGACGAAGACTTCAGCTTTGGATTTAGAAGCTGATTTAGTGTAGGGTTACACCTTGGGTATTCTGAAGCGATGCAAGGCGGAGAGATAAGGAAATGTACGTTAATAAAAAAAATAAGAGCAGCAGGGATACGTACCAAGCCGTAGAGCATCTCGTACAGGACACAGCCCAGACACCACCAGTCCACGGTGTGGTCATAGGCCTGCTTCTGGAGCACCTCTGGGGCTAGATACTCCGGGGTCCCGCAGAAGGTGGTGGTCGTCCCGTTGGGGGGCAGGCCCTCCTTGCACAGGCCGAAGTCGGTCAACACGATGTGGCCCTCAGAGTCCAGCAGGATGTTCTCCGGCTTCAGGTCCCTGTAGACGATGTGCAGCGAGTGCAGGTAGCCCAGGGCGCTGGCCATCTCGGCCACGTAGAAGCGTGCGCGCGGTTCCAGGAAGACCCGCTCGCGCTGGAGGTGGTAGAAGAGCTGCGGGGAGCAGAGCGACGCGGGGGTTGGTTGGGAAGGTAGAGCGCGGATAGAGAGGGCCGCCTACTGTCCTGCTGCTCTTGCTAACCATCCCTGCTCATCTCCAAAGGCTTCTCTCACCCTCTGTTGCTCTTTAGTTATAATATGTGCATCTGCCTGTGGAAAGTGCTTGAGGCTGCATTGAATGTGGGCTTTTAACAGATAGGAGCCTGGTCCTGACTCACGCTCATCGAAATCGGCCCACTCTCCTCTCACATCCAACCCACAGAAGAGCTTGGGACTCACCTCGCCCCCGTTAACATAATCTAGCACGAAGTAGAGCTTGTCGGCAGTCTGGAAGGAGTAGTGCAGGCCCACCAGGAACGGGTGCTGCACGTTCTTCAGCAACACACTCCGTTCCGCCATGATGTGTCTTTGCTGCCAGAGGAGAAAGAGGGCAAAGCGGACTCCATGACTACGGATGATCATACAAGTCCATACATAGATGATTTGAAGCGGATGAGCTTGGTAAAGTTCCGCCTAACAAAATGTATTTTAAAGTAAAGTAAACAACAAGATGTGCAGTACACTGCTCTCTGCCAGGTCTTCAGAAGAGCATATCTGAAGTGCGCCGTTCAGGAAATCAGCCTCACCTCTTTCTTTTTCAGCACGATCTTCTTCTGAAGGACCTTCACTGCATAGTACTTGGCACTTTCCTTATGTCTAGCTAGCAGAACCTGGAAGGAGGAGAGAGCGACAGGTTATTTTAAAAAACTCGACACCTTAAGGTTTCATCCAAAGCAGTCGAATCATTTTAATTGCAACTGGCAACCCGTTACCTTTCCGAAGCTCCCTTTCCCGATGATTTTCAGATAGTCAAAATCAGACGGCTTGATCCTGGAAGACAGAGCAACATCTTACACTCTTGCCCATAGCACTGCGATTTCACACATCTCGCCGCAAAAGGTGAACCCAGAAATACTCACTGTGTTTCCTCCCTGAGGGAATTCCTCTGAGAAGCGGAGCCGAGCTGATTGAGAAAGAACATGGAGAATTAGATCATCAAGGCAGACCCCCTGAACGCCAAAGGATGTGTTCCAAAATCCTCAGGTACGTACAGGAGAAAGGTCTTCCTCTGTCTCCGCATTCTGGTTCTCATCAACCTTCAGGAACACATGAACGTCTGAGCTGGAAAGGAAGCAGAGGGACAGTCTGCAGTACTGGCCACGGAAGAAAGCTCCTATATGGTTTGAACATATTTGTGCATATTGTTCTTTAAAACATGTGAAATTCTAACTCCTTAGTGGTGTCACTCGTTTTCCTGCTGTAGCCCAACTCAGGTGCATGAGTGACAGAATACAGTATGCTAGACTCACCACTAGGTGGCCGTAGTCCTTAAGGTGGAACTCGCAGAACAAACTCAGTGTCTCAGGCAATAAGGGAACGAGGAACAGTGATTCTGAGCGAATCGGCTTTATTGGGAGTCAAACAGTAGTTTTTTTTCCCCCCCCACATTTTCAGTACCCGACAGTAAACTCTGCCAGCTCATCGGATACACAATTAGTGACAAATCCAGGGCAGACGACGGTCAAGACTTTATGACTTTAGGAACATGAGCGTATAAATGTTAAACATCGATCCTCTAACCACACATCCTGCTCAGAATCACGGGATAACACCTAGACCGTAAAATGTAAACCTAGACTGTCCCTGCAGTGCCCAAAGTAGTCAAGGCTTCCATTCAGCCAAGTCTTGGGACACATGAAGCATCTCTATACTTTAATAGACTTAGCAGGTTAACCCCCTAAGTGGAACAGAACAGATTTGTTTCCAAGGTACTTAGACAGTACAATGACTGGGTGCCCTGATTGGATGCTATTTCTGCCCTGGCTTTACCTGAACATGTACAATGAACCTAGACAGGGGATCAGAGATTAAGGCTATATATGTCTGTGACAAGCAGCCAGGAGGGGAAAAAAACAACAACAATATCAGCCAAGTTGAATGCGCCAGATCACTAGGGATTCACCACGTAAACAACTGAGAAAGTCAACATGTCAGATAACAAAAACTACTGAGACCCATCACACGGCTCTCAATGGTCGAAAATTACACATGGCGTTCCTGGGGACGGCTGAATTCTGACAGGTACTTACAGAAACATCACAGCAGTCTTACCGAAGTATCAGCACAGTATTATTACTTCTGCACCAAAACACACACTGGGCACTGGCCACTGGCCGCCAGTGAAGCCCATTCCTCCATCCCACAGTGGAAAACAGGTGGAGAAGGCTGATATACTTACTTCTGACTAATAGGGGGGGTGGAAGCCAGCCTCAGAATTAAATCGTTCAGTCCCATTTTCCTTTCTTTGATAAAAGCTGAAGAATAGAATGTGGATGTGTGTCAGTAGGATAACAAACGAGTATTGACCAGATGAAGTCGGTACTTTGTTTCAGGGATCAAACTAAAACTATAGCATCAAATTAAATTTTCAGCAGAAGTTATAACACATATATAAATAATAATTTTATATATAATTTTAATTTTATATGAATGCAAATAACTTGAAATTTAAATATATGGTGACAGAACTGTACTGGTACAAAATTCACACACGCACAAAAATAATAAAAAAAACAACCATCTCATAGCTGGTGCAGACATAAGAACTAACACAAAACACAATTTCCCAAAACACCTGTGAATTGGAAACAATTTTATTTACAAAGTATTAAATGGAAGAAACTCAATAGTAGTGTTTCAGTGAAGAACAGCAAAAACCTTCAGAGCTGATACGGAGGGCAGGGAAATACACGATAACACTACTACTAAGATATCCCACATAAACCGGGACATGAGCGATCGCAGCGACCCCGAGCCTACCTGTGAAAAAGGACACGATCCCCCTCATCTTGTGTGTAAAATCGCACTTATTTTCAGTCATCAGTAAAAAGGTAAATCCCGGTATGAAGAAAGCGAGCGACCAGTCTATCCCTCCAGCTGTGCTGATCCGCGCTCGATTCGAGCCGGTGCTTTTATACGGGACACGTGGTTCCCAGCCGAGGCATCCTGACGTCACCCAGGAAGCCCCGGAGAGCTGCAGCGACGTCACACAGGTCCGCCCAAACCCAGAAGAGGAAGCACTCAGATGGATTAACAGATCGATTCGGTTCTTTTTTCTCAACGGACCGACAGATGCTGTGATGGCTTTGGTCCGCGGGGATTAAGCATGCTAAGGCACACCGTTAAGATGTGAATTTCCAGAACTTCGCTGTTGCTGGATCGTTGGATCAGATCAGAAATACACTTGTGGAGTTCTAGTACCCTCGGTATAATTTCGATTTGAACTAATTTATTTTAAATCAGATTGGTCTGATCACCAGCTTCTGCCCCGATCCCCTTACGCCCGGATGAGCTGGTATCCAGGTCTCACTGTTATCTAACACATTCTGCCTTATATAACTATAAAGGCTTTCGGTGTTGCTTATCTGCTGATGAGAGCCGAAAATGTGCAAGGCACCCAACTCCTCTGCAAACCTTTAGGAGGCAGGTGTCAACTGTGACTTTATTGGAGGAAAATGGTGTCAGACCGCAGCCTGTCTGTGCCGCCTCACCATGAATATCCAGGGGCATTTATTAGTGCTACAGCTAATCTCAAGCGATAAACATAGAGTCCTTAAGGCTCTGGACAGCCCCATCTGCAGACCCCCCCCCCCCAGCAGCATGCTGTGGTGTGATGTGTGATGCCACATCCACTCATACTCCAACGCTTCAGATTCTCCTGCAGCTCTTCAAACACGGGCGTCTTCTACTGAGGTTGAGCAACTACTCCATACTGTATTTTAATTCTTCTAATGAAAGGCTGTGGTGCTTCCAGCTTTTTAATTTAGGCAGGAGTTTCCCCACACACCCATGTTACCGCTCATGCCTGTGGTACAGGTGTCACGCAGTAGGGCGGCAGGGATGTGTGCTGGCAGGCGGGTGTGACATGGAGCTCGCCCTCTGAGTACAGTCTGTATTGTGGACATCTTTGTTCCCTTCGCCTGGTGTCTTCTTCATGCCCTCAGCCAGGGTTTGTCTGAGGTGGGGAGACATTAAGCATCCAGGCCCCATGCTGAGCACCGCAGGTGACGGATTGACAGGCCGTGCGGAGCCGTGAGTCAGCTTGACATGGGCCACCCCCACAGGGCCGGCGGGTACATGGTGCCGTCGGCGTTCGGGGGGGCTTCCTCTCACAGGCTCTGAGTGACTCACAAGTGAGGGGGGCTTTAATACCTCCCCCTGCCTCTGACACACACACACACACACACACACACACCCAGGGTCCTGCTCGATCTCTCTCTCCCCAGACTCTCACTCTTTCTTCTCCGTCTCTCTCGGCTGTTCCGGCACTTTCCGACGCATCGCCTCAAAGCGGGGAGCTGCGGTGCATATTTCAGCGCAGCGCTAAAACCTGCGTCTATGAATGGGCCCAGATTGTCTGACTCATCTCTGAGGAGATATTTCTGACCGCCATCGTAACCCGATTAGCGGCCCTGGGGGTAAGCTCACACACCGGTGCCAAACCCCCCCCCCCCCCCCCTGCTCCTGAGAGCTTTAATGTGCTGGGTTACTGTCACCACAGTGAAAGGTAGCTTATCTATGTCCTGAGTCACAGCTGAATATAAGGATGGCCTGTTTTTTTCCACCACATTACAATGGGAACAGCTTCCTGAGTTTTACATGCAGTAACTCGCATCTAGGTCCACCTCAGTATGTCCTCTGGTGCTCTAGTTCTTCAAACAGGAGACACATACATTCAGCAGCCAGCATGGTTAACTATCAGCAGTGTGGATAATTAGCAGCTCGAGTCAGTGTAACCAATCAGCGAGGAGCACAGCCATCTATTACCACTGAGGGTAATTAGCAGCTCGAGTCAGTGTAACCAATCAGCAAGAAGCGTTGCCTCCTATGACATGTGTAGGTAATTAGCAGCTCCAGTCACTGTAACCAATCAGCAGCCAGCACAGGTATTTTTCACCAGTGAGGGTAATTCGCAGATCCACTCAGTCCCTTGGAAAGAGCCAGAAAGTGCAGGAGAGGTGATGAACAGCAGGTGTATTTAACTGAACAGCGGGAGTGATGAGAGGGAAGGTTTAAGCTGACTTCTGGAGATGCTGATCAATGGTTAAGCCCCCAGAGACTAGAATCCACAAACATGCCCAGCAAACTCAGGCCACTGAGAACCAACGTCAGAAGCTTTTCACTTGAACCACAGAAACAAACTGCCGTATTTCTCCACCATAGAGCATAAAGTGCTACAATTAACAGACAGTTTATGCTTTGAAATAATGATCTCAAAGCTCAGCTGCCCATCTGCAGACCCTTACAAAAATTAACCATGGTTTTACTATGATTAAATAACCATGGTTTACAATGGTTTGCCGTTTTTCATGGTTTTTTGGGTAACCATGGAAACCATGACTATGGTTTTATCATGGCTTCACTACAGTTAAACCCTAGTATAATCTTGGTCTTTACCATGGTCTTTGTTTAACCATGGTCTTTCCAAACCATGGTAGCACTATGGGTACTACCATGAGATACCATAGTAAAACTATGGTTACTGCATAAAAACCATAGGAAACCATAGTGAATTTTCATAAGGGGAGTTTGAATAGCCTGCGATGGAGCTGGGATGATGCAAATATGGCCCCGGTAGGGCCATGACAGGCTGGGGGTGCGAGATGAGGACAGCATGCCTCAGGGGCCCCCCCTCAGCTCAGCGCCTGGGCGCCCTGCCCATTAGCGAGTAAAAACAGCCCTACCTATGAAGGAGCTCTTCTCTACCTCTGTCTTCATGCTTCTGGGTCAGAAGGCCGCTAGATGTGTGGGTTTCTCTGCAAGCGGTGCCTCTTCCATGTGTCGCTTGCTTCCTGTATACCAGCACATAAATAAGATTTCACCGTTCCCACCTGGCTGGTCAGCTTACTTCCTCTTTTTGCCCTGCCCACACACGCCTGTCCCTCACTTACCGCAAAGCTTAAAGCGAGACAGGAAGCTCACGCCCTCCTCCTTCACCCGAGGCCCCGTTTACCTGGGGACATGCGAGGTAAAGCCATAGGCAAATGAGGAACTTGAGATTGCGGTTCCTTTCAGTCGGGAATTCCTCGTTCTGCTTGGTGGGCTGTCTCAGGGAAACTCAGACTCAGACAAAGGGGGTGGTATTCCTGGCACAGACCTCCATCTGTGTGGCTTAACTGAGGCTTAGGGGACGTCATCTCTTCTGTCATTCCAAAATTAAAGAGCAAATTTCCCGAAACTCACTCAGTGCATTATTATTTTTTTATTGTTTGATTGGCAGTAACCTAAAGTCAGGCTTCTTTATCATATGTTATAGAATTAGATTCAAAGCTCACTCAGTCTCCATGTAATCAACTGAAGAATTTTTGTTAAATTTCCAAAACTCGATCCTTTAGTCGACAGATGTATTCTCAAAAAAATGTATTCCGTTGGCTGAGTTTTGGTCTTCAATTCAGGAACTGAGGTGGAGTTTATCTGCTGATCTTGACGGAACCAGTCTGCGTGAATGCGCACCTGCAGCATGCTGCAGTCAGCTGACTCCTGTTCTAAAAATGGAGGCCCTGATACAGATCTAACAGCAAATCACCTTCCCAATTGGAGGTGTAACTACATCAGGTGAACATCAGACAGCTTCTGTCAATGATGTCCTGTGAGATTATGCTGTATTTGACATTTACATTAGAATGCTTCTTTTCACATATCCCAACTTGCTCTCATTTGAGACAAACACACAGACACACAGACACACACACACACAGTCGTGTAATCATATCTTTTTGGGGACCACTCATTCATTTCTATGGGAAAAATATTATGCTAACTATGACAACCTTAACCCCTGCCCAGCCCTAACCATAACCATAAATAACCAAACAAAATTTATTTAACAGTTTTTTCATTGCAGTCACGGATTTTGAAACTGGTCCCCGTAAGGTAAAAAAAAATGGGTATTCATCACATTGTGGGGTTAGGGTTAGGGTCCCCACAAGGTAAGGTATACCTGGACCCCACACAGACACACACACACACACACACACACACACATAGACAGTTGGAAGTGAAGCCTGGGGTCATTTATCTGGCACCCCTGAGCAGTTTTAGCCTTACGCAAGGGTTCAACAGACACACACACATATATATATATATGAGAACAATTTGTTCACTGAAAGAAGAATGGGTCCAGGGGGATGTTTCTACTTTAACTGATTAAATTACTTTGAAAACTATTTCCTTTTAATTGTAATCTTCGATCTTTCTACCCTCATAACACAGCACTCATCCCCACTTCACGAGAATGAGGCATAAACAAGGAAGCCGGAGCTGAAGAGCCCAGAATTACCATGCGCTCCTTCCGCGTTAAGTCTCACACACCGGCACAGAGGAAATGTGTTGGTTTATTATCCGGACTCAGGTCTCCCGATGCATGTTGAGATTTGGCTAATGCTGCCGATTTGCATAACATTAAATATTAAGCTAAAAATACAGTTGATTGGCAGATATCAGATCGCAACACTGAGTGAGTCAGCAATACTGCATGCCTAAGAATCATATTTACATAAAAAACACTGATATACCATATTTCAGGCTTTTGTTTTAAAAAGCTTTACCTGTTTGCTTAACATTATTTGTAAGTTGTTTTTGTGTGTGTGTGTGATTGTTCGTTGTTGCATTCTAAGTGATTCTTCCGAAGTTACTGAAGTCCCAAAGTCATGTGCTCAGACACCAGCCCTCCACGGTCCACGGTCTTGCCCTGCTGAAGGAAGGTAAGCCATAAAAGATGGGGCCCAATTTTTTGTAGATCTGATGCTGTCTAGAGAAAAACACTCATTCACACGCACAGGTTCATTTTCACACAAGGCTGAGGTACACCTCTATTCAATGCCTTGGTCCAACACACCAGCCTTCAGACACAACCGTAAGCCATGGAGAAAGCTACCAATGTTTGAATGCAGAGATACTCCAGAGATACTCCAGAGATACTCCGTCAGGGCCACCAATACGAAGATGCTTTACATTTTCACCTCACCTTCACCACGATCATAGTGACCTGAGAGTAAGCCTGCGATTCCTGTTTCATGCGTGTGCTGACTCATTCGGAAGCAAGAGAGGCGCATACAAGACAGAAATGAGTGTGTCATTGGGGAATTTCAACATAAACCTCGAAACTATTCATAGAAACTACAAACCTTGAATGCCGTTGAGCTGAGATAAGAATTGAGACCTATGGGGGACCCACCTGGAAAACCGGATGGGCAGGAATTCACCCAGCTCATGCACTGAATTTGAATGAAATTTGATTGGACAGAAATCCGCCAGTATGAGGTCATAGGTGAGGTCATGTGCTGGCTACCGGCTGGCTGAATTGTCACGTCTGTATGTAAGCTTGTGACATTTGAATCCCCTTTAATTACTCAGCACTGGATTTTAAAGGGGGAAAACCACAATGAGTAATTAATCTGCAGTGTTAATTAATATGCAGTTTTTCTTTTTTTTATCGTGGGAAAGTATACATACAGAATGTACCTATGGATAGTAATCGTGCTCATAAATCACTTAAATAAATCCCCTTATATGGTGGACCAAACAGTCATTCAGAAAAACAGGAGGAAGAAAATAATAAATAAATCTAAAAATAAAAAATGGAAATGTTAAACGGTCCTACTCTACATTTGGGCACAGCGTATTATTAAGGATTGCGTTCAGCATGCAGCTAATGCTACGGATAAATGACACTTACACCTGGTATCAAGAGCAGGTCCCTGCTAAGGAGGAAGGAAGTTCGGGGTACAGTCTTACCTTTCTGTAAGAGAGGTAAGGTCCCAAACTGTAAGAAATCGTTGGTTACAACCTCAGAGTAAATACTGTATTTGGAATTTTTTCTCTAAAAACAACATTGGATCACTAAACCAAAGTGAAATTGTCGGTGGGTTATTATACTCCAACTGTAACCATAAATATGTGGTATTTCTAAGCCATGGTTTGTCTTTGTTACTTTTCCATTAAACCACCTGTGTAATGAAGGCAATCATCACAAAAATATACCACTTCCGTTTCTTCTCAAAGATATTTTAACTGCGTCCTACTGTAATGCTGACTAATATCACGATGCCACGGTGGTAACGGTGCTATTGAAGCTGCAAACAGAAGCAGGGCAAATAGTTCAATCCAAAAAAAATCCCCTGTGAACAGTTTCGATGGGAAGATGGAGGCATGAGGCCTTCAGCCACGTTCTGGGCAGGACCAAGACGCACAAGCAGCCGTCCTGATTGTTCCGGTGTCTTGAGGAACGTCGATATAAATATCTACGGCATCACCTAATAAATTGCAAGTTGACAGCAACAGTAAATCACAGGGGACACAAAAAGCACTGGGCATTAAAGAGTTCCTTAAATGTCACTGTTACAGAGACGCCGTCCAGATGAGCGCAGTGGGAAGAGCTTAAGTGACCTGCCTTTAGAAAGATCAGCCGTAAACCTGGCGATCACACTGACCAACTGGCTGCATGACACCTTCTTTTGCCAGCCCACCATAGCTGATACACCTTTTTCACTATTTTTATCGCAAGCTAAAGGGTGTAGAAGAGAGTTTGATATGGGGGGGAGGGTCAACATTTAATTATTTACATAGAAAGGTCTGTTTATTGGCGGAGAATGAATGAGGCTGAATTATACGTGCCCCCCATCCCCCGCAGTACCTTGTGCCCGGAAGTTTGTTCATTTCCTGACCCAGAACCATGGGCATCGTTAGGTCCGATCACTCGGGGCTATAGCCCTGAGCATTTTAAGCCTCGCCCCAAGTATTTTAGCCCTGATGCCAACTGATCCTTCAGCTTAATTCCTGCCCAGTGTTACTGAGTAGGACACCTACATACATCAAATGGCAGCCTTGGCATTGCTTACACACTGCAGCTTGTCCTCTCAAGTCTCCTTGACACAACCATGCAATTAATGCTGTAGGGTTTGCTCTGTTCTGTCCCGGTTACAGAGGGGTGTCCCACATTCGCTGTGACATTACCTCCTCTTGTCACCTCCTCCGATCTCCGGAGTGGCCTTTTCATGAAGGAATGGGATTAGCAGATGGAGTCGGCTTGGCAGGCTGTGGCCGTAGCCAGCAAGATGAGGAAGCGGACAAAGATACTGTAGGTCAGCGTCTGAGATCCAGGACCAACCTGGAGAAGACTTGCAGCTTTCAAAATCTCACATACCCTCCATGCACAATGTGCAAAGCATAGAATGGAAATACTGACTATAAATGGTCATGAATGAGAAAACTTTATCAGTAACACTGTGAACAATCAGAAACACGGTTCCTCTATGTTATCCTGAACTTCCTGAGTTACTGGTCTGCTGTAGCTGGAACTGGAAACCTGGTATTGTTACAGCTGGCTTCAGCGTGTTCATGTAACTGGTGTTCAGTAAATCTCAGCACAATAAAAATCAAATACAAACACTGTCCTATGTGAAATATCATTCTCTTATCTAAACATCGAAAGACCTAGCCTCCCAAATCAGTGATATATGCCTCAGGCCTCGTGTCTTCTGGAGCGTCTCTGTGGAACAGAAGCCAGCAGTGAAGCTGACAGAGCAGTTTGCAATATGAATCGAGAAATTGATGGATGAATCTGCATATTGTTTAGTTATTATTTAACAACAGTGGCACAATAAGAACAATGAAAACAAAACAAACCATCAGACAAAGAAAAAAGTACCACATTATATGCAACATGATGAACTAATAAACCAGTATTACGCGTGAAAGCGGGGCATGCTGGGAAGGGTACTCCACAATGATACAACTACCCCCCTACATGTCAATATACAGTAATATTAACACAAATGGTTTGCTAAATGTTTCCCAGTCACCAAAGTCAGCAGAATATTAGCATCTAGTTACTCCAGGTTACTACATACTTAGATTCTTTGTATTTTGTTCCATTACATGGTCGATGAGATGGTATGACCATCAAAAAAAACTGGAAAAACTTGTTGTCACAGTTTGTGGAGCTTGTTGCTAGTTTGGCAATTTCTTTTGGCATGCGAGCTTTTCGCAGGCAGCTGCTAAAGTTTCATCGTCTTCGGTGTGAAAGCCTTTGATCCATCAACTTAGCATCTGAATATTTTGCAAATTTGTCATGTTTTCGTGCTGCATTCAGTGTGAAACAGCCTTACGGTTGGAGGGCTGAGGAGATCAAAGGTCACCCTTGACCACAGACTTCCTCACTTCCCCTTCAAGTTCTGTTCATCTTGGTCTTCAGTTAAGCCCACCTCTGCTGACACGTCGGTAATGCACCGGCTGCATGATGTTATCTGGAAACTCTATCACAGATCCTGATTCAAGTTCTGCCAAGGACAAGCCTGAGAAATGTGTGCTCTGGGAGAAATTGTGCATGTCAGACCTTGCTGGTCCCATGAGGAACAAAGGGATCTTGTAATTTGCTTTGAAAAAATAAGGGAGCAGAAAAGGGCTTTGGGTCTGCAGGGTTAATGAGCAGCTGTGGGGTTGATGGTTAACCGTCTGCACTTAGAAGCCTTTTTCCAACATCACCGCTCTCTGTGGGGTTGACTTGCTCAATGGATCCGATGAGGCAGCCTTGTGACTCATTAAGCTGTTCCTCTTTAGTTTCCCCGTCAAACGCGGATTACGCTGCCTGAATTGATTGGTGAAGAGTTCCCGCAGTGAGGGATGGGGACCTGCTGATGTCGCACAGAGTCTGGGTATCCAAGAGATGTCGGTTATGGAGGACATGAGGCAGGGGATTTTTGACCGGACTGAATCGCCTGAGTGTGACTGGGATGGAGGACGAAGGAGAAACGTCAGCTTTTCAGCTCCGCCACTGAGTTTCAGCCGTTCGTGTTGCTGTGCATGTCCAGAAACCCTAGCTGCCTTATCCATGCACTCATCATATGATGCAGAACCCTGTAAGCCTGAGGGCGGCGACCAGACTGCTGTAGCATGATGACCAGCGCAGCCTGTGGACCTGTTATGTAATTACCTCACCATGCCCCGGGCCAGGGATGACACCATTAAACATACTGTTTGTGAAGACAAAGCAGCTTGCAGGAAACCACCTCTCCCATTGGACTGGGTATTAGTTCTGGCCATTATACTGGAACAATTCAGGTACAAAAGCAAAGGTCCCTCCTATATATCCTCAGCTGTGAGCTCTTACATTAAATCTTCCCGTGAAATATAGAGCTGCACCTACACAGGAAGACGTATGACTTCACAGCGCTCTGAAGTCATTTTCTCAAATACCAGTAAAATAAATATCTGAGAAGTGGCCTATTAACGTTGACAGGTTTGATCCGGAATGACGTTTCACGCTGAATAAAAACCACGCAAGTCCACTTAAAGCAGTTGTAGCTCCTGTCTGACAGAAGGACTAAAAACGGATCAAATGTCTTCTCCTATTAGCCATCTTAAGCACTGGGGCTACCATCACTGTGGAGCTCCTGTTTACACCTACTGGCATTTTGGCTGTAAGTTAAACATGCCGGCCTCCGGTTTATGAATATAGCCATTCAGGAGCTAATGATTTTGCATGGTCTAATCCATCTGGCATCACCCAGTCAGTACGTCAGGTCTCTCAGACATTCCTCAGAAAAGACCAAGCTCAAAAATTCGTGGGACATGCTGATGGACTGTCTAAGGCCTACAGCCAGAGGCGTAGCTAGAACTTTTGCCGCCCCTGGAAAAATGTCACCTTGGGCACCCCAGCCTTGTCTTCCCTATAATTTTACATATCCACGG